CAGCAGGAAAAGCTTCAACTAAATCAGGTTACTCTGAGCCTTGCTTAGTTTAAAACCATTACCTCTTGTCCTATCACTACAGGCCCTGGCAAAAAGATTGTCCCCTCTTTCTTATACAACTTCTTTAAATATTGGAAGGCCATTATAACATCTCCTCAGAGCCTTCCCTTCTGCAGGCTGAAAAACCCCAACTCTCTCAGCCTGTCCCCATAGTGGAGGTTCTCCAACCCTCTGATCATTTTTGTGGCCCCCCTCTGGACCTGATTCATCAAGTCCATGACTTTACTGCGCTGAAGACCACAGAGCTGAACTGCAGGTGGGGTCTCACAAGAGTAAAGTAGAGGGAAAGAATTCCCTCTCTTGACCTGCTAGCCATGCTTCTTTTGATGTGGCCTAGGATATGGGTGGCTTTCTGGTCTGGGAGCACACGCTGCTGCCTCCTGTTCAGTTTTTCATTCACCAGCACCCCCGAGTCCTTCTCTGCAGGGCTGCACACAATCTCTTCATGTCCTGGATGATCTACTGGAGATTGCCCAGCCCATGTGCAGGATGTGTCCACTTGGCCTTGTTGAACCTTGCAAAGTTTCCACAGGACCACTTAAGCTTGTCCAGGTCCCTCTGGGTGGCATCCCTTCCCTCCAGTGTGTCCACTGCACCACATGGTGTCATCTGCAGACTGGCTGAGGGTGGACTCAATTCCACTGTACATGTCATTGATGAAGGTATTAAGCCAGCATTAGTCCCCTGAAACACCACTTGTCACCCATCTCCATATGGACATCAAGCTGTTGACCACTACCCTCTGGATGTGGCCATCCCGCTAATTCTTCAAGGAACAGCTAACATTTGGAATGAAATGAGACAAATGTGACTAAAATGTTTTTAATAGTATTGTCCCTGAGTAGTACTTTATATTTTCTATTCTATAGATAAATTCTGGAAACTAGTTGAAATACTTTTGTAATTTTCATCTGGTAGTACAGACTGAGGAATTTTCATTTAGACCTTTAAATTTGAATTTAATATATGCTACCTAGAAATTTTGGCACAGGTGATTATTGTGTTGTAAATGAGCTTATTTGCAAAGGAAAAGTTTGTGGCATTTTTGTGAATTTATTCCAGGTGAGGGGGAAGAGGAAAATTCTCTTGAGTTTTATTTGCTAAGAAGTTTAACTGTTTTGCAGGGTCAAAAAGGTTAACCTATCTGCTTAAAATATGTTCTGTTCTCTCACCCAGCAGAGATAAAATGTAGGGAGAGAGAGCGCTTTGTACTATATAACGTGCCTACTGCCACCAGTAAAGCTATAATTGTTTGAATCTAAGTGTGAGAGAGTGACAAATTGGTGCTTCTGCCTTGCCTGGTGATGTGGCTCCAGTCATCTCTGTGTGGTTTGCAAGCTGTAGCATTTGCAACATGCCACCCCAGGTTTTATTTTCCAAGTACAAGATTATAACAAAAGCCTGGAAAAAACATTCCCTATAATCCAAATGTAAACATATAACTGTTGATGGTATACCTATGACTCTAATACATCTTTGTTACAGTAGGAAGTGGGTAACACAAAAAGATGTTACCTAAGCTTCAGCATTTGTGTGGAATTGTCCCCTCATTTTCAATGACGCTGCAGAATATGTTTTTCAGAAGACTGTTTACACTTTCTATTGCAAGCTGAATTTCATGCCTAGATTTCTAACTTGAAGCAGTTGAATATGTGAGAATTGAAACGAGTGTGCTGTCTTGTTTGAAAAACACCATTTTTCCATCATGAAGTAAGACAGTAGAGTGGGGACCTGTGAAGTGTATGGACAAGCAATTACGTTTGAAACACAAAAAAATGCACGTTCTCCACACAAAAGTATCTCGTACCGCTTGGAAAAGTGGTTAGATGAATGAGAGTAGTTTTAGAAGCCTGCAGTAATTCTCATTATTGCCTTTGTCCAATTATTTCTACAGTTCTGTTAAAATTCTAGCTCAGAGAGACTATACACTTTCTAAGTGAAAAAGACTATTAAATGTCTGGACACTTGAAATAGCTTTTTTAAAAAATCCAACCAAGCAAGCAAAAAAAACCCCAAACACCTACATGTACAATGTTTTCAGACATCTCTTTTTGGAGTTCTGGAATACTGATCTTAATATAAATCTCTTAGAAATAACTGTGTTGGCTTTATTTATTTGTTTATTTATTTCTTTAATTATACATGGTATATTATCATTATTTCAAGTGAGAAAATGGAAGTATGTTGAAGCACCTTGCAAATAGTAGCATCTTCTGCTATTTAGCATAACTGTGACCCAGGCAGGCATGGTTTCGAAGGCTTAAAAGCACTGTAGGCTAACTTGAACATCTGTATACAAACAAGGTGAGAGGTAAAATTTCATCCCAGTCAAGTAACTCACGTTGTGTAGTAGTGGGGAAATATGCATTTAAAACCATGTGGACTCTTACAAAGCACATGCTACATTTTCGAGAGCGTGCTCAACTACCTCTTTTTCAGACTAACGCTTTTCAGGATAATACTCTGATGCACAAGCATAGAATTTATTTCTCCTTCATGCTAAAGCATTATTTCTTCCCTGTTTGTCAGAGCTGTTCTTTGCTCCAGAATACCTAAAATCCCAGTGGGCATGACATTGATCCATTTTATTTAAACAAACAGTGGATTTGTTTGTGTGCTCTCCTATAGGAAATTCATTATTTGACCTATACTTTAATAATAACAATAATAAAGCAGAAGGAATTTAGCTACTGTAAAAGCATGTCACTTTTTCTTAATGTGGCTAAATAAAATGCAAATGTAAGTCATTTAGCTCTTGTTAAATTATCTGATGTGGAATTTTTCCCAGTAAAATAAATCCTGGTTTATATGTTCTTGTGCAATGAAACCTCGCAAAAAAATCTTATTTATACCTTGTTTTCAGTTGTAGTTGGCTGGCTAACATATACAAAAGGGCTTGTAAGTGATGTATAATTAGTATTTTATATTCTATATATTATCCAGAACTGTAAAAATAATACAAACTTTAATTGTTATTTGATTGTCAAAGATCTGTTAGTCTTTTAGTGAAACCAGTATTGATTAAAGTTTATATGTATTTATCACTGAATAAATATAATTTTTAAAATATTTATTGCCTAGTTTGATAAAACTATAGACATGGTTCGTCTTTCCCCTTTGTGTATTGCTTCTGTGCGGTACGCTGGAGCTGCTGTTGCCAGATGTGGACATGGTTCTTTTGAAAATAACAATATTGCTGTTATACACAAGGCTCTGGATTATTTGCTTCCCCACCAGAAGAACATTGTGTGTGGGCGGATTATTGGCATTTTAAGGTCTGTGCAGAGTCTGGGAAGCAGGATCCTACTGTAAACAGAGCAACAGACAAGAGTGAGAGCGGAGAGGGGCGTACGTCTTGCTGATTATTTTAAGAAGACAAGTTCCAAGAAGTTCTGAACTCAGATGTAGTACAGGAAACTTAAACAGACATTCATGTTTTCAGGGAATTGTGTACATTTATTAAACACAAGAATCCACAGGCTGAGCTAGCACATGAGATATAGAACATTTTGTTGCATTCTCTGCACTGGCACAAATAGTGTCTGAATTTACTTGTTTGTGGTAGAATTGCCTTTTTGCAGATCACTGAAAAATGAATAGGTTCAGCGTTTCCATTACCTTTGGCACATTTATTATGTTAGTGGTGTTTTCTGTTATGCCTCTGTTTGGCCTTGCAAACTGTTAATTAACAGTGTAAAAACACAAGTAAGTGTGTATAAGATGACCTGTAGATAAAATCTCTTCATTTGTATTTCATGATTCATTTTACAGGTCCTTCAGCAGCTTTTAAATCACTTTCAAAAAAACAAGGATAAAGTTCTTCTTTTCTCCTTTTCCACAAAGGTGAGCTCCATATGATTTTTATCAATTAACTACAGCAATGAGTTCTGAAGTGTAAAGGACTGAGGTGACAGCTATCAACCGCATTTTTGTTGTTTCTGTAGTATGGGAAATAATGGTGAGGGCAGTGTGCTGTACTCCAAAAGCATATTGGAACCTTATGTTATTTCATGAAAAAAAATTTTGATGGCAAAACAAATATAACACTGCCTTCCTTACAACTTCTAAAAAATGTTACATCAGGTGTAGATAGCTCATACTGAGTTCAGCTGGTATGTCTTCAGAGCAGTGTCACAGAAAAAGTACGAGTGATAATGTCATGTAATGTCTGTGTTAGCACTGAAAGTAGTTAAATTTCCTTTGCATTAATGGCTTTTGACCATCAGCAGTGATGAAACTTCAGCCATAAGACTTACTACACCAGTAAGCTTGAACTTAAAATTTTGATTGTTTAATTGGAGCAAGAGTTGTATGCACATTTTGCTTTTAATGGACTTGATCCTTGATTTTCTTGTTGGGGAATAATGTGTTTCCTGCAATGGTGCGATCTAGAATATGGTTTTCTTTACTTAAATACTTGTAATGATAGCACTATTTAAAAAAAAAAAAATTGAATAACAGTTAAGAGTCTTAAATCTCTAATAATTTTGTGGCTTTAAGGAGTACTGCAAGCTTAATACTTAGATGCAGTAGTAAAATGCTTGTGTGTCTTAGGCTGTGCTTTGTGGTGTTCAAGACCAGACTGACTCCTGGTTACTGCAGTCTCTTTCATTCCATCCCTCTGAACTCTCTGCATACTGGTGTGTTTCTCTGTGATGGCTCTGGTGCTTATTTACTGTATTTCAAGTCATTGTAACTTGCTAAGACAGTAGGAAACTGTTCAAGTTGCCTGCCAGCTCATTGGATTGAACTGATTCGGCATCACTTGGAGGTGGAACAGGCAGCCAGGGCTAGCGGATTAAGTGGCACCCCAGCAGACCAAGATAAGAACCTTGAGTGCTGTAGAATCACAGCTAGAGTCAAGGATGATAGAAAAATGGTGAAAATTTACTCTCATTTTCAGTGCTTGGTCTACTGAAAATATGTTTGAGAAACATGGCCTCTGTGATTGTGTTTAATTAAAAAGATACAGCAAGCACTTCTTTTTATTTTTTTTTAATTTTATTTTTCCACCCAGTTGCTAGATGTTCTGGAACAATACTGTATGGCATCTGGGCTAGATTACCGAAGACTTGATGGAAATACAAAATCAGAAGATAGAATCAGAATTGTAAGAGAGTTCAACAGTGTTCAAGAAATTAACATATGTCTTGTATCTACAATGTAAGCAAATTTGTCTGTTTTCATTCTGCCTTTCTGAGTGTTGTGTAAACAGGTTACTGTGCATTTTGCTTGATGACCTTATGAGGGATTATTTTTGTTTTGGAAAGCGACTCAAGTCTGTTAGTAAACATATACTCACTGCTGTGCTCTGAAGCTTCTTAAAATATTTTGAGACTTCCTCCTTTCCTCCCACCTCTGCTTTATGAGGATTTCTAGGATCTGAAGCAAGTGGGTCTTCTGAATCTTAGTTTTAGATTTCCATTTGCTGTAGGAGTGAGAAAAGTTTTTAAACATTATTATTAAAATATTATTATGTCATTGTACTTAAAAAGTTTTTGTTTTAATGTAGATAGACTCAATATCTTGTGCTGTACTAGTAGAACTAGCAAATGAGTGTACATGTGAAATGCTATATTGCAAAATTCTCTCTTGGTGTTACTGTAATTTATTAACTGCAATCCTTGGTTTTAAAATCCAATCAATCCTTGTGTTTTTAAAATTTTTTTTACTTAAGCTATATGTTCAACTAGAAGTAATGAAGCTATCATGACTAGTTTATTTTTGGTTTGGCTTTTTCCATTTAGCCAGAAGGTTACTTTCATCTTGGATGAAGTTTGTCAGCAGGCAAGGGCACAAAGGGAACAAAGAAAGACTAATCTTCTTGCCCAGAGGAGGACTGTGAAACTCGATGAAACATGCAAATGTGCTGTTCTTGGCTGTACAGTCACTTCAGTTCTTTCCTAACAGTGTGTATGTTGGCGTTTGATAAACTCTGTTTAATTAGAAGTAAGACATAATATTTAAGACTATTGCAAGTGCATGTCAGAACTCTCTTCAGATACTTCCTGGTGCATGTGGGCAGCAGGGCTGTGAAGAGACTCGTGGTGTTGGTCACACACATTTGTTTGTAATTTTCATCAGCTGTGGAATCTGTCCGTAAGGCTGTCGGGAATCCCTAGTCCTTGCCTCTGTAGACAGCAGGAAATTACTGCATCCGTAACATTAGGAAAGACTGTAGTTTGTACTTCTGTAAGTCTAGTTTAGTTGCGTAAACATAACCTTTTCAACTCCATTAATTTACATGGAAAAAATAAGAAGGTTAAGTAGACAGAGAAGGGCTTTCTTCTCTCTGCTAGAAAAACTTGTGAGTACAGGGACTGGTGAGCTTACCATGCCTGCTGGTGGTGCTTGAGACAAGAGTCTATGGTTCTGTTTTTTCTGGTGTTTCTTGTCTTAGTGAGTAAATGGAAGGATCAAGCAGTGATAGAATTGCAGTCCATGTAACCAGTGTTAACTAATCAAAACAGAAGGTGCAATACTTTGTGTGGTTTATTATACGTTAACAAGAAGTGATCTTTTTGCTTGCTTGACATACAGTAATGGAATCAGCTTTAATTTTGTAATCCTTTGGAAATCAGAAGGTTCTACTCTACAAGAGATTCATCTTCCCTTCAGGCATTAGTCAGTTGACAGAATTGGGTCATACTATTTTGTCTGTACTTTCATGCAAAGTTTTTGGCTGACTGTTTTGTGTAGTCAACTTGTGTGTGTTCTGAAAGTCTCATTACTTGAAGAGCCAAATGTTGATTTTTGCTGAAAATACTTGCACAGTCTTTTGGCTGCAGCAATGCGTTCTGCAAAGGATGAATTCCCTACATAGTGATCTTGAGTCAGTCATTATATTCCACTGACATAGTTAACATACAGCTTTAAACAGGAAGCTCCAGCCCATAAATTAGCAAGTTACAGTGCAGACAGCAGTGCTGACTTCACTGTTAAATCTACAGTGTTCCTGTTCTATGTTCCTTTTTTTTTTATATACTGGCAAAGTGCTATTTTTGTCTGGAATTGCCTATGTATAGCTTGTTAACATTAGGATATCCTGATTTTAATTGTTTGGTAGCTTTTTGAGAAATGAGGCCTTAAACAATTTGTTTTAAAAAAAGAACTTAAGAAGTCTATCTGTATAGCTTGACCTCAAATCCTGCAGTTAGTGGTAGTATCAAACATAGTCCATAATGCTTTTATTGATAGCTATGACTAATATAGCTATATGAGTAAATATATTTTATGGCTATTGAGAGAAAATATGATTTGTTTCTTCAGAGCTTGTAAATTCCATCAAAACATTCGGTATAATTCACAGATTTCAGCCTTGAGTTTTGTGGAAAAATAGGTTTATATCTGTTGGAACTTTAAGGTTTATGAAGTGAAATCTTTTTCAGAATATTTCAGTTGTGCAGGTCTTGCTAGGAAAATGTATGATTTTGTGGAAGAAGAGAAGGGAGATTTTTGGGCATGATTAGAAGGACTGGAGTTGCTGAGAGAATGTCAGAGCTTGCAACTCACTTGCTGCTTAGCCCGTGGAAGGGGAAACACATATGTACAATACTGAAATCGGTGCCCAGTTCCATTGTAGCGTTCTGGAACAACGAAGAGCAGCAAGTATTTCCACCTTTCTGCTTCTGGGTTTCCTATACTAACTAACAGCTAGTTAAAATGATAGTAAAATATTCTTTACAATGCACAAGGTAACTACTGCATTCTGTACATCAAGGATATAGGAACCATTCTTTTTCTGTTTTGGAATATCTGAAATTTATTTGGTATATATAAATATATGGAAAGGTAAAATCTTTATAAAACTAAGTGTCTGTCTTTGTTCATTTTTAGTCAGTATTTTACTTGCACTAAGGCTTGCACTGAGGTTTAGTTCGTATTTGAGTTCCAAATACTGCAATTTTTAATGAGAAAGCATGTGAAAAGTGTCTTATGTTTCAGTCTGACTGCAGTGTGGATTTGGTAAGATGAGAGACTGAATTCTTTCCTCACTAAAATGAAATACACAAAATCTCCCAAATCAAACACAAAGAAAAACACAAAGGTTTTTATTCAGCTTTTCAAACTTTAAGAACACTCATCCTCTGGAAACCTCCATTAATATTAGCAGGTTCCCACATCTTCTCCCTTTCCAGATTTTGTTCACCCAAAACCACACCTGAAAGAAAGAGGACACAACTGTATTTACACTGACAAGGATTCCGTGAAGAGCAAAAAGTGGTGGGGCTCCATAAGCTTGGTTCCATCTCCCTTCATTCTAATATCTGGAAGCTTCACCTTTCACTCTGCTTTGAACAAGCGGAATATAAAGTAATCTCTTAAAAACCAAGCGCTTGGGGAATTAAATGAAACTGACTCTTTCAATTTTGTTGTACCTCAGCCAGGGATGGTAAATTTTAATTTAAATTTTAAATTAGTGCTGCCTATGTCAATGTGAAGAATTGTTTTAATAGTTAAATTAATAGTCATGTTTAGCATGTGTTTGTGTAAGAACTTGTCTCTCTGTAGGACTGTTGGTTGAGCAAGCTGAAAGGAATTTTCAGTATTTGCTTGTTTTGCAGCTGGATGAGAAGTACTATTTTTCCTCACTTTTGTTCCTATTAAATAATTCAGCTATGGACATGCCAAACTCTCATGTAATTGAGCAGTTTTGTTGGATTCAGAGGGCATTAGTTACCTACCATGGGTTTGGCATATGCTCACATTCTTCACTGGCTTGCAGGCTTTACCTGAAAGCACAGTACAGCTGTTGATTGTTTTGGTACCCTTCTGACCCTAACCCCCAGAGCAGATGATTTTTGTACAATGACTTTTTTCCTTGTAATGACTGGTTTGAGTCTTGGTCATATGCAGCTGTGTGGTCAACTATTTTTAACAGTTGACTTAAATACTGGACAGCTATACTTGTGACAATTGTTAATTCTTATAGGTGTTACTTACCCTAGACTGTGACTATTTTAGTGGAAGCTATGTAGTGTTATTGTCAAAACTAAATACTGGGATTAGAAGAAGTAAAATTTTAATTTTACTTTTTATTTATGCTATACTTTATCTGCTTCTGTTAACTGGCATAAAAGTGGTTATGAATTTCTATGTAATTATTGGGGGAGTTGGCTTGTATAGGACTCAGTGAGTACGACGTAGCAATGAGGACTTGTGCTATAATAAGTTCGTAGTGGTTGGTTACGACTCAGCTAGTCATGCAGTTTGTAATCTTCTTGCTACTTAGGTGACAAGACTGCATTTTACAGCAGTGGTTGTTTGAGTATTTGGTGATTGTTAACACAGCTGGAAAACAAAGCTTCAGCCCCTTATTTTCAGTATCCCTGTTATGCTCTTCATTGTTTTATATTTGGGGGAAGGTATGCCGAGATGGATCTAATACAGTGGAAAAAATAATTAATTGTTCTGTTGGGGGTTTTCTTCTTGTTGTTGTTGTTTTTTAATTATTAAATAGTTCTGTTTTTCATTTTTATGTTTTTAGGGCTGGTGGACTGGGTCTTAATTTCGTTGGTGCCAATGTTGTCATCCTGTTTGATCCTACCTGGAACCCAGCAAATGATCTTCAAGCTATTGACAGGTATACTCTCAGATCACAGAACTTGATCCATGTTGTACTGTTCTTTTGCTTTGATTCTGTAATCTGATAGTTCGAGTAAAATTTTCCTTGGGGGAAGAAGTTTTTTACACAGTCTGGCTTGTCCGCAAGACAGTAAGAAATGTCCAGCTAAAATATTTTTAACTTTGTTCTTGTTTTTAACCATGACTGTTGCTGCTGAGTTTCCATTTTATTTTTATGGCACTGATATGGTGGGCTCGTTTAAGAAAAAAAAAGGTAAAAACTGCCAGTATTGCTGCAACTTTTTGGGGCCTCTAGGATGTGTGAGTGCATATATGTAGCTGGCACTTTTCCTGTGTTTTTCAGGACAGAGTACATAGTAGTTGACCCTAGTTCAAGTGGTATTTTGAGTTCTAGAATCCTTAAAGAAAAACATGAATGTTCTTTTTTGCTTCACCTTTGTGTAGATTAGTGTCCCTTAAGCACTCACTTCCGTCTCTGGTATTAGGCCATTGGTATATTTCCAGGAATCTGGATTTTTCTTTCAAGGCATTTTGGCCATAGTGTGTTTCCCTAGAACTTCAGGACAGACCTTTAAATAGCTGAAGTAAAATTGGAAGCCTTCAAAATTAAGTAGATTTATATGATTTCATGAGCGGAAACAAACTTGTTTCTGTTGACCCATCCAGTTATGTAATTCCATTTTAAGGGTCTTTGTGCCTTCCAAGAGGTGTTCATGTGGATTTTTTCTAGAGAAATGTGTGTCAGAAATGTGTATTATTGAAAGTGACTATCTTCAGAGAATCTTTCTAAGAAGCTGTTTCTATAAATTAGTTCAGTCTCTCTTGAATTTTTGGAATATAACCTATTACAAGTCTCAGAATTTACTATTTGGATAGAACACTGCCTTTTCATTATCTGTTTTTATGATGTTGTAACTTCCAAAGTGCTTTATGAAGTTAAGAAAGAACAGACTGCCTCAAGTAATCTATGATCTAACTCCTGTATAATACAAATAGGAGAATATCTTGTGCAAGAGCCGATGGCGGCAGAGAGGGGGGAAAAAAAACCAAAACAAAACTGGGAAGGCATAGTGGAAGATGTGCTTTCAAGAAAGATGAGAGACAGGCAGTATTATACAAATGGAGGAGAAAGCTTTTTCAACTGGATTTGTCTGAGAAGAAATGTAGAGAACTAAGGGCAAAGGAAAACAGAATGAAATACTGAAGAAAATTTTGAAAAGTAAAAAAACAAACAAAAACCCCAAATAAACAACCAACCCCCCCAAAGCAAAACAAAACAAATAGCCAACTTATAAATGATTTAGAGTACTCCTGTTTTATTGAAATGCGTTTAGTTAGTTTTTCATGTCGCTATCCTGAGAGCTCTTTTGTATTTGTGTTGATTTATTTTTTTGCTATGTGACTGTTCTTGCAGAGCGTATAGGATTGGCCAATACAAAGCTGTTAAAGTGTTTAGGTTGATATCCTTGGGAACTGTGGAGGAGATGATGTACTTGCGACAAGTTTATAAACAGGTAAAATTCACAAACTTTAAATTCAGACTTCCTTTTTATCAGTCGCAGTGACTGAAAGGTAAGTTAGCCTATAGAAAAATTGTAGTTTACCTTGGTTTTATGGTATATGCTGTTTCCTTAGTTTACTAAGCAGAGATACATAACTGCAATTTTCAAAGAACGAAACATAATTATATGTGCATTAAAGTTTTTCCGTAACTTTTGACAGCTTAATTATGCAGTACTCTTTAATAAGTTTATACGCAGAACTGTGTTACTTGAAGATTTGTGAACTATATCTGTGAGACTTGTAGCCTCACGGTCTGTAGTCAGACTGCAGCAGTCTGATTCAGGCAGCTTTTTCTTCTGAAAGGTTGGAGAAAGGACAGAAGTCTTGCTGGTGTTATAGAAGAAATGCAAGAAGGCTTTGCTGTTCACCTTCCTGTGAAAACTTGCTTATAAAAGGAGGGGAAAACAGCTTGTAGTTGCCACTGTTATGAATATAAGTTGTTTGCTGGAATCCTCAGCCTGAAACACTTGCTCAAAGTTTTTTTTGTTATCATTGATAAGTTTAAACACCTAAGATTAGAAAAAAACGAACTGTGCAATTTGAGGAACACATAATCTAATAATTGTATCCAGATGAGATCGGAATTAAAAAATAAGCAAACTTGAACATAAGCAAGAGCAGGCTGCAGAAAAGCTAGATGAAATATAGAAATGTTTTTCTCAGCAGAAGTTGCAAGTTAAGAAATAAGATGATTGAATTTAAGATACTGACATTATAGACATAAAATTGGAGGAAGGAAGGAAATCCGTGAGATACAGTTGTTCTGCAGAATGCATTACATAGAAAAGACAAAGTAAGTCCCTTTAGTGGGCAAATGATATTATATATTAAAGAAAGCTTTATGATATTTGATGGATTAGACTAATAAATTTGAATTTTTGGCCATAAATAGGAAAAGTTTGTACGAGCCTTTGGTTACAAGCACCCTCTTGTAGGTGGTTTATTTACAAGGAGGAGGGTAGGGGCTGAATGAGTGGGAAATGCAGTAGCATGCAGATTGTCATTATCCTCTTAAGATTTAAGTAAGTGACAAGGTTCATGGAGCAAATAGTCAGAAAACCCATAGCTGGAAGATCAGATCTTGAGCTGCTCCCGGAACATGTATGGCCTTCTTTAAAATGTTACTTCCAAAAAAGCCTAGCAGTGACACTATCTCACATAATTTCAGTATTTTGTGGAAGCCAAAAAGCCATTAGAGTTCTGTTTAATTTTGATGAAATTATCTAAATAAAAAAGAGGAAACTTCTTTAAGAAGGAATTAAAATTAGTAGGTGATGGGACAAAGTGCTCACAGGTAAGTGAGCAATTTTCAGAGACTATCAAAAGCTCCGAATGAAAAAGATGTTACATTAATAGTTGAAGTTGTGTACTAATGACACAAGTCAAAAATAAAACACAGTCTAAAAACTGTTTTTGAGAGGCTTGAAAATATAGAAGCTAATGATTTAGTTGTCTAACACATTGGGAACAGGAATTGCACTGCTTCATGGGCGCCTTGCAGAAAAAAATACGTAATTTATTCTTTGTAGCCATGTAGCTAGAAAAGCTTAGAGAGCATCCTATTCCAAAGTTTTTCTTGTGTGAAGTACTTTGGAAGATTCATTTCAACACCAAGTATTGGGAGGAGAGGTCTCAGAAAGACTGACAAAGCAAGCAATAACATTAAAACCAACCATATTCACTCCAGTCCTGAAGGAGGGAAGTCATGCGTAGAGGTCGTTGGAGCTGGTGATCTTGTAGATAAAGGAGACCTGCATATTGTCTGTTTTGATTTCAAAAGACATGTATAAAACTTCTTGAAAGGCTCATTTGCTGGGTGGGGGGTTTTTGGTTGGTTTTTTTCAATTTGATTTGTGTTTTTCAAGTCAACTAAAAAACAGTCAACAGAGTAATTGTAGATTTTGGATATATTTTTTTTTTTTGGAGTCTATAGTTGGATGGCATTCCCTGCTATTGACACTTGAGCACAGTTAGGAAATTTTCAGTAAGTTGTGAAGGAAATACATTTTTTGGCTGTTTAAAAATCAGAAACCATGAATGCATGTGGACATGTGGCTTGGTGAACTGTACCAATGTACTCTCTGAGCTAATTATCTACCATCTTTTTCATGAAATGAATTTATGTGAAAATGCTTTATCAAGTTTCTTGTGTATTTTTACTGAGGGATCTACTGGATTTTAATGTTGCTGGTTTTCTTTTTAATTAGTATTGCTTAGTTCTCTTGGTCATGTGTGGTTGAAGAATCTGATGTAAATAAAATTGAAATCTAGCATAACAGAAACCCAAATAAGTTACATATGTATCCTAAAGTGTACTTTTGTAAATATTGTGCATAATCCAAGGAAGTGTGCTTAGCTACAGTTAAATTAGAATTTGACTGTTACTGGCCTGCATAATTCAAGAGATGTGCTGTTCAGGAAAATGCCTGTTCAGTGCTAGAACTAGACGGGAGTAGAACTGAAGAACCACCAACTGCTTAGAGACCGTTACAAAAATATTACAGGTCTGGTATCCATAAAACTATGGTTTTGACGTTCCTCTACTTACAGTCAAAGAAATGAAGTATTTAAGTCGTGGAAATGCAGCTAAACCTCCCTGACTTAGAAAATTTTTTTAATTCTGCCTGACAAAGTATTTACTTGTCATTCCTTTTCACCTGTAAGATTTAAGTCGATTCAGTCTGCTTAGCAAGCATGCCTAATAATTAAAATATTCAGAGATCAGTAGGAGTAATCTTGTGGCTTTTTTAATCCTTCGCAAGTAAGCATACAATGTAAAGTATGAAAAACTATGACAAAATAGTAAGAATTTAATATTGAGGAAAAATAAGCAGTCAAGATGCAGTGGAGTGTCAGTAGTGTGTATAGCAAGTGTCTGATACTAAGCAAAATGAAGTAGAAGACGTGAATTTTTGGTTTTGGTTTTGGTTTTTTTATTCATTTAGGCCAGGCAGTTCATATTATATACCACAATCTTTTATACCAACATCTGCTAGGAAAATGAAAATATTCTCCCTCAGGAACTTCTCCCTGCTCTAACTAAAGCTGTGTATATAATGTGGATGCCAGGAAATTCTGACATGTTGCTGGAGCAAACACTTCTGAAATTGCTTGTGTTGTTCTGTTTTAGCAACTTCACTGTGCAGTGGTTGGAAGTGAAAATGCCAAGCGGTATTTCGAGGCAGTGCAAGGATCAAAGGACCATCAAGGAGAGCTTTTTGGGATCCATAACCTCTTCAAACTGAGGACTCATGGCTCTTGTCTTACCAAAGACATCCTGGAGGTGTGAAGTCCTACACTTAATTTTGGATATTAGTTTTACATTTTTCCTTTTCTCATGAGATATTTTGTGATAATTTTGAATGGAAACACTTTATAAAACAGAATGGTGAAACTTAAACAGCACCTGTCTATGCAGTATCTTCAGTGAAAATAGACATATTAATTTCTCACTCTGATGTAGACAAATTTCCTTAAATCAAACCAGAAAAATTGAAAAAGTTTGAATTACTGTTTTCAAAAGTTTGCTAATGTATTTCTTTTCCTAATAAAAATGCTCACACTTATTTTTGTGATACATTCTCATACTGTCAGCTTTGTGCATACGATACCTTTTATTCATCAATAGCTCAGAGTGACCTTTTAAGCCAGAATTCTGACTGCAAAACTTTTTTTGTGATCACAGTAACTTTTTTATAGTACATTTTACGATGTCAAAAGCTGTTTAATAACATATATATGCTGTATTTCAGAATGCTACAGGGTGGAAGTAAATAACTGAGGCTTCATATTTTAAGATTATTTTCTTGGTTACTCTAAAAAGGCTGTTGGGCCAACTCCATAGCATATAGTGCAAATTAATTTTAAGTATATGTAGTATTATACTTTTTTCTATCCTGCATGTTGCTGCAGCTAACTTGCATCTTGAAATTTACCACAGCTTTATTCTAGGTTTCTTGCCATCCTTCCCTTTATTTTGTTATTTTGCCTATACTAGGCGATGGCTGTGATTCTGTGTGATTCTGTGCTGTGGTACAGCATTATAAAGATAGCATTAACCTCAAAACTTCTTTAAATTAATACAGGGCATGTAATATGAACATTGTAGCAAATAATTTCCTTTGGAAAATAGTTTAAATTTACCAAAACAGTGTAGGCTACTTTGCGTGCAGGTTATGCTTTAGATCAAAGAACAGTTAAGTGTATCGCCAAAATGTCACAGACTTTCCTGATTGTACTTCTGGTGCTTACACGACCGAAAGAAACTTTTTTTTTTTTTTTCCCCTGGGCTTTCCTTTGTTAACTTGTTAACTCAAACAAGTACAGTTTTTATAGTGTATGTTGTTCATTGATTTAGAGGGAAGGGCGAGTAGAAGCAGGAGTCATGACAGCAACCACATGGCTAAAGGAAGAGACTCCTCCGTGCAGCTCAGAAAAGGTAAGGTGTCTGTGGACTGCAAACCAGAGCGTGCCAGTCCCTCTAGTTCCTAGTACTGCAGTGGCAAATGAAGACAGTGTGTTGTTAGGCTGATAATATTTTTTACCCTAGATTGTACTTGTGGATTTTATTGTCTGCTTGCTTTTGGATTTACATATTGTAAAACATCAGATAATGTCATGCTGCCTGTTATTTCTGCATTTAAGATGAAATATTCTGTACATCTGGTAATACAGTGTGCTGTTCAATAGTTGGATATACTCAATCTGGGCGAAGGTATTACTAACCTGCTGTTACTACAGAGCAATGTGGTTTGTTGGAGCATTGCTCTGTAGTGTCTTAAGGGTGACAGCCTTGTGAAATATGACATGGCAGCTTTTTGATCAAGAAGTCTGTTGAGAATCTGACGCCTAGTGTTGTTCAGAAGATTTTGGGTACAAAATTGTGGAAAGGAATGCAATTGGTTTGGAGAATTGAAAGGTTGCGTCAGATATGTGGACCTGTGTGGAAGACGTGGGCTGTTTACTTGATGTCATCAGACAGTGATTCCCACCAAATCAATGGTCTGTTCAATGCTGAGCTTTTATTTTTTTAAAAAGTGCATCTAATTGATTTTCTTTGGGAACAAATTGTTTGATTCTTTTTTTTTCCCCTTGAAAATGTTGAGTTTAATGGGAGCATTTTTATGAGTGTTCTTGACTGAACGCTGTGTTCAGGTGATTTAAAAAACAAACAGCTACGTCTACAATAAGGCCTCTAGGCATGAAAATATTGTTAGATTAGATCACTCTAAATGATATTAAAAATTAGGCACTATTGCTTGTGCTTTATAGAAATTTCTTCAGGTAAATAAACCAGTGTGCCATCACATTGGGCATAACTTCACATTGCTAAAACATCACTGTATGATCACAATGGACTTCATGACAATCAGTAACTTCTTTAGCTCTTGTTAAATTGTTTTTGTTAAGCAGGGTGTTATCAGGATTAATACATTAATTTTAAAACTTCTCTTCATGTACATAAGTTCAGTATTTACCCTTTTCACTTTCAATTTACATAGTGTCATAATTCTTGTCTCAGTAATACACAGTGTTGGAGCTGTATTCTGGACTTTTATATCTTGAAAATGTTTCAGGCTTGCCTGGGGATAATTTTTGTTTGATTACAGTAAACTTCAGCTAAGTTTAGAGTAGACTGTTATGTATTGATAGCTCTTTTAAAATGTCTTAGCACCTATATACAAGGATCTTGACCACTTCTGTGAGATTATTTTTTTGAGTATCATTACACAGTATTATATTATTTCTGTATTATTTGTTTTATATTTGCTTTATATTTATGTTACTGGAATGCTGTTTTGTATATTATTTCCTTTTGATTAACATAGTTAGTCATAATTAACACTGCTTTGGAATTAGGTATGTTCTATATACTGTTTATGTTTTAAATACCTTTGCTGTAAATTATTTTTCTTTTTAGTATGAGCAACCAGACTGTAAAGAAGATGGAGATCCCCGAGGTATCCAGGCACAATTAAAGAGAGAAGAAATGGATTTTTGTGATGACTTTAGTGATGATGATATTCTTGAAGCTTCTGTGAAGAAGTGTGACAGAAGGAAGCCTTGCAATGCAAGTAATTTAGTGGTAACAAAGGGACAGCTTTCCTTAATGCAGTGTGGATTCTCTAAGTTGTTGCAGAGAAAAATTGAAACTGCCAAAGAAGGAGATAATAGTTACAATTCTCATCATTCAAGTTCTGATGATCAGACTATAAGAACAAACATAAAGGACAAGTACAGTGATTTCCAGAAAAGTCAAAGCCATGTGCCTATTGGGGAGCATGGGAAAGCGGCTCAGTCACTGAATGGAACTGATAAAGATCTTCGTAGTACAGACTGGCTTGTTTTATCTGACTCTGAAGAGGAGAAGGACAGAGAAAGCGAGGATCAAGGCATTTCAAAGCAAAGTGATATAGTCATGGAAACTGAAAGCAGTTCTGAACAGGATGATCCTACACAAGTTCCAGCATGCCAACAGCAAATACTTACTAATAAAGTTGAAATACACAGATCAACATCTGAAAATTGTGAAGAATTAGCAAAAGAAAAACATGGATTTTTATTTAAGGGAGACAGTAGGCAATTTGGGTTCCACAGTGCTGAGTCAAATTTCACCAAAGTCATGTCTTTTGAAGATATCAAGGACAACACAAGAGATCTGAAAGGAGCAAGTGATGTAAGTGATGAGTCTGATGATATTGAAATTTCCCATAATTTTGAATCAAGAAAGGTAAGAACTTCCAGGTTTCCGAAATGGAAGGAAAGACATACCCATAACAATGGACTAGGTAACGTCTCCAAATCTATTCTACAAGCAAAGAAGCCCAACAGAAAAGAAGAGGAAAGTGATTCTCAAAATATAGATGAATTTTCATCTTCTGAAGATAACTTACCAGTTGAGAAAATTTGTGCCAGAAAGCAAAACTCTAAACATAAAATCTGGAGAGGCAGAGTTTGGTTTGGGCCTAAAATACTTCATACTATTCAGGATACCTCTGTTGCACAAATGAAGGCTAGCAATTATGGTGTGCATAGAACTTCTGCAAGTAAAACTGAATTTGAAATTCAAGAGCAAAAAATCGAATCAATGGACAGGTATTTAGGTAACTAGTAATTTAATTTCTTTCATTTTATTTCAGTTGAATTACTAATTTATCATTGTTAGGAAGTTTTAAATTCCTCCTGCTATATGTGTTTTTGTTACAAGATAGCATGCTAAATTATTTAATTATGTCTTTATCTTTCTTTTTGCCTATTAGCCTTGTCTTCTGGTGTGATGGGTTGCTTTGTAATGTTTCATTAAACACTTACTGTCTTGAAACATGTAAAGATTGAATATTTGAACTGTAAAGCTTCTAAAATCTTGACAGGGCTGTTGAATAAACACTTGTGTAAATGAAAAACGAACAGTCATCTGGGAATTTGAAATACCATGTAGAGGATTTAATTTTGTTAGAGACTTAACTTTGAACATTAGTAGTGCAGCCATTAACTCATAGATGCTTTGAAATTTCTTTGTCCATCTGAAAAAAAAAATCACACTAAAACGGAAGTAGTATTAAACTGCTTGGATAATTCTGAATAAGTCTAATGCCAGTTGTTAATTTCATAGAGCTGAGAAGCTTTGTGCTGAGTGAGATCACAAATTTTGCAACTTTTGTGTAAAACTTTTTTTTTTAACTTACACCCTGCGCTGAAGAATGGTATTTTATGTTAAGGGTTTTGGAATAACTGACATCTTCAATTATACCTTTCTCCATGTCAGATGGTGTTCAAGAGGTGGCATATATTCATTCAAATCAGAATGTGGTTGGATCCAGCAAGGCTGAGAATCGCTTGAGCCGGTGGGCAGTGCGAGATGTATTTGAATTGAAGCAGTTTTCCCAGCTCCCTGCTAATGTAGCAGTCTGTAGTGCCAAGGTAAAGAGAAATGTTTGGGAAATGTTGTTTTTACTTTTTTTAATCCTCATCTTTCATCTTAAAAAGCTCTAACAAACTTGTTTTTCTGTTAATGGCCACCATGAGTGATCAAAGCCACTGAGGATGGGAGGAGGAGGCTCAAATGGAGGTCTAATAAATTACTTCTGTGTTTTGTTTTTTTGGGGAGGTTTTTACATTGGCCAGCTCTGAAAGAGTTGCAAATTGAGCAGCACAGCACCCTCTGTGGGATTTTTCTGCCAGAGAAATGGTAAGATTAAAGATTGAGTGTTTGAAGCCAAATTCTGTGCCATGTTTTTCTGATTTGAGTCTTGAAAAAAATACAGTTTATTCTAGATGCAGTTAACAAAAATCTAGTTGCCACAGTACATGCCAGAATCTCTGTAGCATGGAAAGTCAAATATAAATCAGTTTGCATATTTTTTTATTTTTTCATTTTGGTGAAGGGAGACATGCGGTTGCTATATCTAGTTGCCACAGTACATGCCAGAATCTCTGTAGCATGGAAAGTCAAATATAAATCAGTTTGCATATTTATTTTTTTTTCATTTTGGTGAAGGGAGACATGCAGTTGCTATAATAAGTTAAATTGCCTATGCTTAATGTCTGAAACACAAAACTAGAGTTTACTGGGAGTGCTCATGTGCAGCAACAGATACTTTTAATGCTTTTTGTTGGTTATGTATCTTGTTTAATTGCGTTTGCAATGCATACAAATCTGGAATAAATTCAGGTACAGCTTCCAGATTTTGTTCTTTATTCCATAGTGGTTTTAATATGCTCTGATTATGGGATGCTTTATTTGCCTTGTAATAAACATTTGCAGTTTTCTAGATTGTTTCTTAAGATAAACCACAAGCATAGAATAAATAATTGGTGAATGTGCACTTTAGGCTTTACAAACATGTTAGCAATCACTATTGGAATTGTAGACATCAGACTATGTTGTTCTGGGTATTGAACATCCACAGTGGCTAGAAGAGTTTCTTCCAATGCTGTTAATGTACTGTTTTTAATTAGACCATTAGGATGGACACCAAAGAATTTTTACACTGGGAAGATCAAACCAGGCCAACCAGCAATTCTAACACATTTGCATTAGAATGTCACTTATTAACAGAAAAGTTTGGTCAAAAATAGTAAAGAATACTGCAGAGAGGTACTTATTTAATAGCAGTGGCTGATAAGATTATCAAAACTAAGTATGAATGAAAGAAGACTTTGAAGAGAGTACATTGATTGACCTATGTTCAAAACTGGTTTGTGGGAGTTCATTTGTGTTGGTCATGTAACTTGTGTCTCATTATTAAGAGTTTGTGTGACCGCAAGTATTACAAATGAAGTTCTCTTGATTAGCTTGTCAGTTTTCCTAAGGTGTCTATTTTTCACTCTGAAGCAACAGTAGTATCAGTTCTCATGGAGATTGAAGTAGGAGGAAAGACATCAGTAGTTTTAGAGAAGGCTGCCTCTTCCTTTACTTCCTCCTCTTTCTTTTACATAGAGGCACTAATCTAGAAATAATCCCTAGATGGCTGCTTATTCTTAAATGAGGAGCTTTGAATTTTTTGTGCTCTGCTTAAAAAAAGAGCTACCAGAGCTTAATTGACAGCTTTGAAATATGATCTACTTGAAATGTTACTGCTACTTTCTTCACTATTTTATTTTTGTTTCAGAAGGTCTTCTGTGAAAAGCTTGATCATTGTTGCCCTTCTGGCCATCACTTTTTGTTGATCACTTTTCACTTATTTGCCATCAGCTTAAGTTAGGACATTCATTGTCAGAGGAAGTAATTACGTTATGATAAAGAGAAAGTTGATTTCAAGTGAGGTTTAATAAAAATGTTTTTCAACAGATTAAAGTAGCGTTATGTGTAATTTGGTCAGCTCAAATTTCTCACTGATACGGCTTTCTAGCATCATTAGTCTAAGAGCGTTTCTCAGAAACTGTTGTGTAGCTGTTTCTGATTGTCTGGGTTTCAATTATCACATTCTTAATTAGAAGCATTTTATATTTATATTGAAGCTTTATTTGATAACATCATGAAGGCTCCTGAACAATGCCATGATAATGTTTATGTCACGTTTTAAGCACACTTAATCAAATTGTCTTATTTCTAAGTAGGAGAGATCAAAACAGGATCCCTACATTTCCTGCATAGTTCTCTTTAGGACAAAAGTAAAATATGCTTTGTGCTGTTCAGTTTACCTGTGCCAACTCTGTCTTCCTGTTTTCAATTTTTACTCTGCAGTCTCTCTGTAATACTACATATCTGACTTCAAATTTTAAATAGATTTATCAAGAAATGACTAGTGTCTCTGGGAAAGAGACGCAAGAGTAATTAAAAGCTGACAAAGTATTCCATTGAATGGATGAGTTGTAAGTTGGGAAATACAGCTTTTCCTACAAATCTTGATTGAAGATCAAATGCAAAATTTTGGCTTCATGCTTGCATATGGAATGACAGGCTTAATAAACTGTTAAATAAGCAATAAGTAAAATTTAATAATAAGCAAAAGTAATTGATAAGACGACCTTCTCTAAGAACACTGATATTTTGTTGATTGCTTGCTGTTGACTAGTCACCTAATCATATTTTGGCTTTACTAAATTCCCATGAACTTTTGTGTTCTAGGTTAAGCTTTCTTGTTGCAGTAGCTCATTTATGGAAATAAGCTGAATATGAATAACAGCAAAAATAAATTACTGGAAAGCAATATAAAAAAAAGTCTTCCTAGTTTTCTACTGGCAGTAGATAGAAGGAGTAGAAATTAGGTTTATTAGTCCTTCCTTTACTGCTGAAGCATGGAGACTAATGTAGTCTTGAGTTGTAGAAACTGCTTAAAACTGGAGCAGACTACAAAACCTGTGAGGACTCTTCCTTCAAAGTGAGAGAGTTTGCATGGGAAGAAGATCATTGAGAGACAGGGAGGAGGGACAAGGAGTTTTGCTCCTCAAAAGAGAGCTTCGAAAGTATGTAGAACATCTCATTTAAGAGCAGGAGTAACTAATGAATAAAAACTTAAGCTTTAAATTGATTATAAAAAATGTAATATTTGAACTTTGGGATAAGAAAAGGTGTTCATCTTAGTGATAATTTCGTTCTATGACTTCAGAAGGTCTGCGTTAGAAATGGATCATTTGCATTAATGACAAATCTTTCTTTAGCTTTTAAACTGGAAGTATCAATCAGGCATATTTTTTATCCAGTAATAAGTAATCAGTCTGGTCTTAGCATTACCTGTGCTAGTATTCATACTACACAGTTACCTTTTCTCTGAAGGAACAGAACGTATTACTTTTATTTACTTTTTTTTTCTGCACCTTTAAAGCCCTAAGGGAACAAAATGTTGGTTCTTTTTATAAGAAGTAGGTCTTACTACTCTTTCTTGTGTTCTTTTTTGCTTTGTGGTTCAGGTAACTCTGGTACTTGGCTTCAAGACTGTTGCAGAGCCTTTGACTCTTCTTTCTCCAGAGGTGATAGAGAGCATAGTTATACTCTGTAATTTGGTTTGTTTTAAGAAGAGTTGTGCAAAATGACTAGTTTAGCTAGAAGGTTCTTGTTTATAGTACTGAATGCTTGTTTTTCTGTGCATTTCCATAAATTCTATATGGCTGTTGAAGATACAGTTAGGTAACAACCAGAATACTAAGTCTGCTGTTGAGACATAAAAATAGGACATCATGAGAGCTCTCTCAATACTTAGCAGTTATGAAACATGAGAAAAAATCTAAAAGTAGTAGAAGCGGCAGTATGAAGTGTGCACTAATTGTACAAGCAAGAGGATCAATTGTACAAGCAAGAAGATATTCAACCATGTTTTGGTTGAATATCATTAGTCAAAATAAATCCTGTCCAACATCTGAATTAAAGACAGACAGCTTGTATACAACTATAATAGAAGCAAACAAATATAAAAGGACTTCTTTTATCTCATGATCCTGAAGGAAGGAAAATAAATTGTGTTTTAAGGAGTATATTCCTTTTATCACAGAAGTCTGTGGGGTTTCATAAAAGTAGAAGATTGTGTAGAGTTGGTTAAAAATTCATTGTTTTTTCATGGAGCAAGTGTAAGATTATTGTCTCTATTACCCCATCACTATCTGTTAAGAAGATAGCTGAAAACCAAAATGAATGAACCTGTAGACAGGTCATAGTGGATTTATAAAGCCAGATTTACAGAGCAGACTTACAGTTACTTCGGCCTTTCAAGAAAAGTCTCGAGTCATTTATGACTTGAGCATATATATTTTGAGCATATAGTGCTCAAAATTGTTCTGACGTTATTAGTTTTTGTGAAAAAATGAAAGTGTTAACAACTTCTGTAAGACCTTAACCATCTACTAAGTAATTTTAGAGGTTTTGATTTTTTTGATCCTTTTTTTCTTTTTTTTTCTACTGGGTTCCAGGCTCTAAAGCAAACTGGCAGATTTTCAGTGCAAGATCTTCTTAGTTATGTTGATTTTTGAATAACTTGCACTGTTACTTGTGAAGTTTTTTCTTAGCTACTGTAAGAAATAGAAGCCTCCCAAGGCAAAATTAAATATCTTTTTTCAATGTTTCCAGTCTATTATGAATTAAATTACTTCATTCAGTAATTTCCTAATTAATTGCCATGTTAATTGGCAAAAATAGCCAATGTGAAATGTTTTACACAAGTATAGAAGTCGAGAATAGGCTTTATATAGTTCCTATAAAGCTTTATTTGGATAATATTTCTTCAGTGGAAATCCTGAGTGGGGGTTGGAGCATGGGGAAGACTTTGGAGAAGGCTTGGAGGCTTCACCAAAAAGACAGAAAATGGGAGCAGGACATGCTAAACAATTTGAAAAGCTGGTGATGTCCCACATTAGAGCTAATTTGCACTTTTTAATATGTGGACAAGTATTAGTCACAAGAAGTTGTACTGTACCTGTTGAGTACTCTAGTCGGTGTTTTTTTTTTCAGCCAACGGCATGTTTTCAACTTAAGTTTACTTAAAGTT